CTGAATTTCCAACATTATCCAAGTAGTGCCAGGAATTAGGTGGCAATATTTGGTTCTGCTTCCCCTTCACACCCCAGCCTGCCCAGCACATGGACCTGGAGAGGGGCATTTGGTGAACCTGGAATGGAAGACAGGCATAAGCTCAGGGTTTTATTTAAGATTTTTCTATTTTAAGATTTTCTATTTTTTTTTTTATTTTTCTGCTTTATAGATCAGTACAGATCGATTGTGCTTCTCTCCTCCTGAATTTCCAGCCTTATCCAAGTGCCAGGAATTATTTGGCACTATTAGGTGCCAATATTTGGTTCTGCTTCCCCTTCACACCCCAGCCTGCCCAGCACACCCATCCCATCCTGCCCCACCACTTCTTCCCTTCTCCTTCCAGCCTTTTAGGACAGCCAGATCTCCATCAGCAGCACCATCTGAGATTTAAGGACAGCAAAACCCTGCAGATGAATTTCAGGAGTTATTGGACCCTTCAAGATGTAAAAACACTTTGTTCTTCATGCCTTGCTACACCTGATGCTGCGATAAACTCAAGCTGCCAACCTGGAAACTTCCAATTTGTACATGGACAAGCCAAAAAAACCAAAAATTAAAATAATAAAGGGATTAACAGTGAGAAGTGGTGGAAAAAGAAGCAGTGGAATTAAAATTTGGCCCCAAACACACAGCTGTGAGAGGAGAGGAATCAGCCCCTGCCTCCACCTGTGCGAGGTGAGCTCAGGTGAGGGTGGGATTGCAGCCATACCTGCGTGGGTCAGGGGCCAGGGGCCATCCAGGAACAGGACATAGCCCGAGAGGCAGGTGACAATGAGCCCGTGCAGGAGGGTCACCAGGCGACAGCTCCACTTGCAGGAGCGCTGCCGGTTCCAGCGGCAGAGGCAGCTGTAGAGACACAGCCAGGCGGCAAAGCTGCAGCTCACCTCCAGGGCGATGGGAACCATCCTGCTGGGCACGGAGGGACAGCGTCAGCAGGGCAGAGAGCCGTGCCCATCCCGAGCACCCAGCCCACCCACGGAAATCCCGGATAGCGTGGGGAAAAACCCCACAAAAAGCAGAACAAACCCGGTCCCCCTGCCGTGAGCGCCGCCTCCAACTTTCCCCAACGGGAAAACAAACCACAACCCCAACCCTCCCTCTGAGGGCAGAGGCGCTTTGGCAGCAGGAGGGACCGGACCAGACCCCATCCC